GAAAAGCAACCAGCAGGAGGACTGTCAGATAAAGAACTGGTTGAGAGCAAGGAGGATGATGTTTCTACTTACCCTTTCCTGTTAGTTGTTTTTCCTGCCATGAGCCCCTCACCCATTCACCCTCACTCACACACTTCCCACAAACAGTATTCTCTACAGTTTGTTGGAGGAAATGCTCAGTCAGTTCCAGTCAGCTACCAAAGCCACCTTCTAAGATGATGATTAGCACTTAAAGGCCCTAGTGCTATAAACAATAGCCGGCATGCGAATGGCTACGTCACTACCTTCAGAAGGGCCCTGTGCAGTCGTGACAGTCAACAGCAACAGGGTCTTCAGCCACTGCTGAATCGAAATAAATAAAGGACTCCAGGTCAAAGAATAATATAAAGTGAAATCTGTATCTGCCGTTAACTTTCTCTTTCTCTTCAAACATAATACTTATTTCCGCATCAAACACTACCTGCATGTTATGAAATTAACAAATGTATACGGCCACCCAGGCTGCCAGAAAAAGGAAACAAATGAAAACACACACAGTTACCTTGGACTCATCCTTAGAACCTCCCATACCTGAACCGGAGAGCGAGCGCCCACGGGAATCTGCAAGGCTCTCTCACACGCGTCGTAACAACGCATGCAAGAACGAGAACTTACAAAAGTCCTACTTGCATGTAAGGCAAGCCAGGTTCTCCTAAATGCTTACAGTTTTTGTTCATTCCCAATCTTAGAAGGAAAGCCAATGATGCCTCTGTAATCTTGCTCGATGCTTCAAGTCATTTAAAATAAGATATAATATGGTCTGATATCACACACGTACACCTGCGGATCATGATGTTCTGCTGATCACAATGGGACAATCCCCACTTCATGTTCATGACCTACAAAATGTGGAATATGGAATTCTTGATTTATCTTCACGGATTTTAGAGTGATGAAATTATACTACTATATTCCTACAATTTTGACATGCGTATCAAGTATTTTACCTTCCAAATGTAAACAAAATTTTACTGTTTTGAGACAAAACTTTAAAACGTTTTTTCTCCATAGCCACTAACTATGATTAATAACTGGCTTAATTTCTGAGTCATCTAGAAACAATGTCCCTATAGCTTGTTTTACATCAAAATAAGTCAAGCTAGATCAACTTACATTTTGAGAATAGCTATTTCAAAATCTTCATGAATGTTTAAGAATTTTAGATGAATGCAATGTTACTACATTGCAACTATGGGCAAAGAACATATATGCAGTTATTACATTATTCAGATCCTAAAGGAATTTTATTAAAGAATTATATAACTAGCATAGAAAAATTATGATACTTTTTCATAACCATCCCTTCACTTTTAATAAGCTGGTGCTGGTGCCAAATAAAGGAGGTTGTAACTATTGTGTCTGTTTCTGGCTGAATGGACATTTCTAAGCACAGAATGAATGGAGTTCATTTAGAGGTCTTGCAAATGGACTCAGACTCTTTTCATGCATAATGGATTTCAGCAAGAACATTTAGGACAAACAACTTTTTTTTTTTTTTAATTTAACCCTTTTAAGTTAAAGGGAGAGAGTGGGAAAGAAGGAAAATTCAGAATACTTTTGTTATTGTTCCCCGTTCAGTGATGACACGCAGACTTGTTTCACAAGAAATAAAGAGACCAAAATCAGTCTGGAGGGAATTATCTCAATTTCTGTGCCTAAAAATGAACTACAACAGTCCTGATGCACTAAATAATAATTAAAAGCTTAATTATTTAATATTACCACTTTGAAAGCCAACTTAATAATGAACAGGTTTCTATGTTAATTATGCTACTAACATAACAGCTTCTAGACTTTAGAAATCACAGTTTTCTTGTGTTTACTCATGTGATTAAATATGTTATAATTCATAGATGCAGAAGGGTGACAAAAGAAGGTGGAGTGACTTAAATTTCTATTTTTTTAACATTTTAAAGGTGGACTTAATGTTATTTGAACATGTTAACATTCTTACATGTTTGGGATTACCCTTTGCTCACAGAGATGTAATTCACACTGGACATGCATATTTAAAGACAAAATCCAATCTCGCATTTAAGACTAATATGAACTAGGACCCATTCCATCCTCTTACTGTTTCTAAAAATATTGGATTAATATATTTTTATTCTAGAATTCTCTGATAAAAAATAGGAATTCCTTTTAATAAATGAGGTCAAATATAAATAACTCTGGAAACACTCCCTATTTTTTAGCTAGTGTTTTAACTTGTTTTCCTAGGGCAATAGCACTGTTCTCTCACTGACTGAACTAATCCAAATTTGACAAGAGCTGAAGATGTCCGACATAGTTACATTCCTACAGATTCTGTGAAAATCGGTGGTTGGGAGGGACAAGGATACTGCAGTGGAAATATGGATAGGTCAAAGGGCACAAATCCATTGAAAACTAGGCTTAATTAGTTACGTTGTTCTTTTTGTCATGGTCACTCATCACTTTCTTGATATCCTGGAGAACACAGCTATCAAAACTTGGATGAGAAACGTGCTCTGGCAATCCATAAAAAGTTTCAAAGATTATTAGCAAGGCAGAATCCTGTACCAATGCGGCTGCTACAGGGAAAAACCAAACAAAAACACAAACCAGCAACTCCCCCCAAAAAGACAAAATCAGCAACACCCGCCACCCATCCTCCCCCTAAAAAACACCCCACAACAAAATGTAAAACGACTAACAAACCAAAATGCTACTCCCCCCTCCCAGTTTTATGCACCATCTCAGCTGACTCTCAGCCTCATTAAACTTTCTGCTCTCCTTCACAGAAGCTGTAGAGAGTTCCAAAGCACCAACAGCTTTCCAAAAGAGAATCAGGACCTACTTTCTCTCCCTGTTTTCTCCCTCCCTTTGTGGAGGAGTGTGTCTTCACATTCTTTGTGAAATGTGAAAGTATTATTTATCTGAATATGTAAAAATGTTCTGTGATATGAATAACTTTGGCTACTTGAAATCAATGGAATCACTTACATTAGAAGAGTTCCTGTTAGTGAAACTGCAGCCAGGATATTTAGAGATCATATCAAGAATTAATTATCTTCTGACATCAGTACTAAATTAAAATAGTTGACAAACAAAACACCTACAAAAATGCCCATTCCTTTGCTGATTTTTTTATCTCCAAGTAATCACTTGAGAAAAGAACTCTTAAAAGCAAAATCTCAAACATCCTTTTATCAATGTTTACATACTCATTGTGTATATACGGTATTGTACACCATAATAGGCTTGAAATAACTTGTTCTATTAGTTTTATTTCTATTTTTTCAACACTACTGCCACATAATGCATCTTATGAATACATTAAAGTTTTTGGTGTCAATACAGTTTGATTTCAATAATTACCTTATGAGCAAATTTGATGATAAAACATAAAGTGTTGCCTACGCATACAGCACATGAACATATAACACATGTCAAGGTTTATTGCTAATCCATTCACAAAACCACATGCCTCTTCTATGGAATGGCTCAAAGATAGCCAATCCTGACTTACTGTCCTTGCTTACTGTCCTACCTCCTCCTTCACTGTTCATATGATCCTCTGGCAAGCTGATTTAGATTGTTAAATGGCCAAAAAAGTGTATAGTTTTAGAATTATTCATGAACTGAACAACTTCCCAGAGGGGAAAAAAACCACTAAATTTTGGGCAAGTGATGGGGCAAGAAAAGTCCCCCCTTCAGCAGCAACAGTTAAATAATTTGATATATTCAGTGTTTTTATTAAAATTAAAAGAAAAAAAAAATCACAGTTGTGTTTAAGGCAACCACCAAATAATCAGAAAGACCTTCGTGAACTTGTCTCCTGGAGCTTTTCTTTCCATTATGTTCCCTAACACCATGCCTAGAGCTGCTCTCAGACAACCAGATAATGTCACACTAACTTTCTATAACCACAGCACTAGAACGCAAGTGTTCTTACTGCTGTATTTTGGCATGGTTTTTACTTAACAGGCTCAGTTACTCTGAAAATCATATTTAGCATCAGATGACAAAGTATTCATAGCATCCTCTCTTCTTTTGTAGAGCGTAGGGCTTTCCTCTGCAGCAGGTGAAATGAAACAAAGTCAAGCTTGTTATGAAGCTATTATACTCTACAATTTTCATAAGGCAACTACGGAGTACTTCCAGTTATGGGATCCAAATTTAGTCACAATCACTTTTACAAAATAACTTGCACATTTTACTCAAGAGTCTGAGAATGGCATCTAACGTATATATAATGGAGCAGCTGCCCTTGCAGGAATGGAACCTATAGAGATGATGGGTTTCTAGAAGAACTGGTAGGACAATGTCAACGATACCTGAAGGGCACTGAGCAGACTTGTATTATATAACCAATGCTTTGGTCAGAACTAAAGCAGCACACAGGTTTATCTAAAACTCAAGTCACTTAAGGCCAAAGCTGTATAGAAGTTGCAGGAACAATTGCATTTTGTGAGGCTACAACACAGAAATGCCAGTGCAGTGCTGTAACTCCAATAAACAGGTGCCGGTAGAGGTGGTTGTGTACAAACACGGTGCAACATGAGCTAGAGTAATTGAAGTATGGGCATGAACTTGCTTCTGCAAACCTCAAAGGACAGTGAGGACAACCCTGCCAGCACCCCAGTAAGGCAGGTACTTCCATGCTGTAACAACATACTGGTATAAGAAGATTCACCAGAGAATTCCTGATAGAGGTCTTCGTTGCGTTTACACACATTTTATGGCATTACAGCTGTACTGTATGGATGTGGTATTTTCACGTTCCTAAATAATATCACTATGCTAATGAAACATTGTTAATAGACCTGGCCTATGTAAAGTCTAGAGATTACACCACAAAGTTTCTCTTGCCTCTGTAAAAGCTATCTGGATTATGGATATTACTTTTTTTTAATATATATATAAGTTTTACTTTGGTAATGTTTCTCCTTTTTTTTTTGCTAAATATGACCCATTGTTTAGTGCAAAGGAGTCACTCTGAGACTGTTTTTCTCCTGTGTGACTCAGAATAAGCTCATAGCATTCAATAACATGAGGAAGAAAAGTAGGCAAGCATGATTTTAAACTCCGCAATTCTACTCAGGCAACTCTACACAGGCACCAAGGAACAGAATGGAAGAATACAGCCTTGCTGCAAGGCAAAAGGGTAGGAGAGAGCCATTACATGTTTATTAGATATCCAGGGAAAGGGAAGCCAGAATTGCTAGTTTTCTCTCTTTCCGAGAGGAAGGAAGAAATGGCAATGAGCCATTGTTGACAGAAGCACTCTATTCCCTCCATCCCAAACAGGCTCTGACTGTAAAAGGTATTCAGATCATCTACTATAAAATGACCGTACACCTCTGATCGCTGACCTACCATTTATTTAGTCAGAACTTTAGAAAAGGAGGTATAAAAGCAACTTCTCAGAATGCGTCTCACAAGCAGCCCAGAAAGTCTGCAAGTAGCATCTATCATCAGTGGGATGCTATGGCTCTGATACGGCACCAATTCACCGATGTATTTATAGCAGCAAAAATACACTGTCATCCAGAAAATGCAAATATTTTTTCTGTAGGAGTAAAGAGCTTTCCACTGGAAAGTGCCAGCTATTTAAATTATTCAGCTGCTGTATACAAATATTTTTATCATGCAGAACTTCTCAATGAAATTTATAGGGAAGGACAACTCTGGAAAGTGACCGATACATTTGAAAGGCAATTATGAATGTGTAATCCATGTAGAAATTTCATAAGCAGACCAGCAGCACACATTTATTTAAATGCCTTTACAGACAGACTGCCAAATCTTGAAGCCTTTTCTTTCACTCCACACTTTCCCACCGCCGTGAGAACTATTTCTCATTAACAACCAAATTGGTTTCAGATGCTCTGCTATAAGATGTTACCTTAGAAACCATTTGGTAAAAGACTGTGGCTTCCTTCCATAGAAATCTCAAGCAGTGAAAAGGCAGATTTTCTGGCATAAATCAAATCCAATTTCTAGGGTTCACTAAACCTTTTCTCCTCAGAATAATGTTTTGTGACTAGATCTTAGCAGTTAATAGTGCACGAAGAATTGCTGGTGTGAACCAGTTTTAAATGATTTTCATTCTATTCCCTTTGTTAACTCAATTGAAATTACTTCCAGTACTTATCATACCTTGATAGAACTTTTAACTTCATAACTAATAAGGGTATGTACAGCAAATAAATAGATCGAATAAAAATATTAATGTTATTTTCCTCCCCTTTAATACAACTCCTTAAACTACTCTATCTGATAAAGATTATGTTAATTGATTAACAACATTAAACATTTGGAAATAGTTCAAAATAAATGAGACAGACCTGTTACAATTTTTTCCTCCTCCAAACAACTTCGACAAAAAAGAACAATCGAAAGGAAAAAGAAAATATTAAGCCTGTACTCT